AACAAAAACACACATACATGGAACAACCCCTTCATTTTAATTGCTATACTGTACATATGTTTATTGTACTTTTTTTACATGTGTATAATTGTTTTCTTCTCAGATATATTACAGATTTGTTTATTGTAAAAACATTTATTCTACATTTGTTCCTGGTTTTTTGAACGTGCTTTTATTTATCATTTCATTTTCTCTTACTACTATGTTTATTTAATTAACCAGCTCACTAAAGCAAATTAATTGGACGTGAAACGGACTTGGCAAAGAAACAGATTGTGATGAATGCCCTTCTTGCCACTTAAACACATTAACCACAGACTTGATAAGCTAACCTGTGTTATTTGTTTGTTTCAGTGATGATGATTTTGACATGTCTAGATACTCATCGTCGGGATACTCCTCTGCTGAGGTGAGATATCTGATCGAGCAAACCTCGCCTTCTTTGCCTCACATTTGCTCTCTCATTCAGCCCCCCCTCTCCTCGCCTTTTTCACTCCATTTCCCATAAATGTCAAGAGGCCAGAGAGCCCGGCTTTTATGCGTCAGTCTCAACAAAAACCCATTTATATCCTTCCTGCTCATCCATGATAATTCTGTGTGGCCCCCTAGCTACAAGAGCGTTATTACACTGCATGAAACACGATGCTGGAAATAAATGTAATGTCATCTCTGGGTGTCTCTCCTAACATCATATTTTCACCGCTGCTGCCAATTTAAATGCAAATCACAGACATCATTTATTCCCCAGAGGAATCCTAGTTTCCATAATTTGTCTGTCTCTGACACGACCAAGCTTGTTGATATAATGTATTCAAGCCAACAAGGGTTCAGATTTTAATGCCACCATGGCGTCAGAGAAATAGCTAATATACATGTTACAACCCCAATTTAGTAATTGTACCCTCTTTCGAAGTTCTAGCTAACAACAATAAGTTGTAAGCAAGCAATAAACTGTGCCAAGCATGACTGTACTAAAGCTAACAAAGAAGGGCATTGTGGTTGTTATTTATGTATTAAAGTGTACAGGATTATCAACAGTAGACTAGACAGTTCAGTTATTACATAAAAAGTTTCCAGCAAACAAAGGCATTGTTTTCCTTTAAAAAAATCACAGCAGGACAGTAGTCATCACATTTATGACAAAACTCCAAGTGATGATCATTACAGCCATCTGTGATCGTGCCCTCACTCAGTTTTCCATGGTTACCACTGTAAATGTTACTCACTCTCAGTCACAAGCTTGAAAACAAGCCATGAGATTTGAAGTCTGTAAAAGACTTCAAATCTCGAGGGGTGTATGAATTGTCTTTCATACACCCCTCTGTCTTTTATGGATTAAACAAACAATATATAACATGTAAATAAGTGATACAGGTGTTGTTAGATAGTTTCGTCAACGCTGGATACAGCAAGGCTAGTCTTTGTGCTAAGCTAAGCTAGCTAGCAGCTACCTGTAGCTTCATATTTAGCATATGCTACAAACATGAAATTAGTATCAATCATCTCATCTAATGCTCTGCCAGGAGGTGAATAGTTTTATATACCCCAAATGTCAAACTATGTTTCACAAAGCTTCATTTGTTTTTAGCTAGTTGGCTAGCTGTTTATAACAGGAACTACTAGGTTTGGGACGCTAGACTAGGGCTGCACGATTTGGGGAAATAATCAAATTGCAATTTTTCTGACAGATATTGCGATTGCGATTCGATTTGCGATATTTGTTTTTAAGCGACCCAACGGAAGTTTATTGTATAATGCGGCCATATCTCCGGCTAGGAAGGTCGTATCAACGTGCTCCCGTCTCTAGCACCCCCACAGCCCGAGCTACGAGTGAATGAACTAAACTTACATGAAACTTCCGTTGGGTTGCTTTAAAGTCAAGCTTCAGTTTAAGATTCACCCTGTAATAGATGTAGAACATGTGATGGAGCATTACTAACCTGACTCAGATGGTTTGTTTCACCAAAGCATCTAGGAAAGCTCCATTGGAAGCCATTTGGAAAAGTATTTCAAAAATACTTGGCAGGTGATTGGATCAATCTGTCTATCACCTTCTATCATGGGCCACTTTTACATTACATTACATTGCATTTAGCTGACGCTTTTATCCAAAGCGACTTACAATAAGTGCATTCGACCAACAAGATACAAACTTGAAGAAAACAGAATCATATAAGTACATTAGGTTTCATAGAGCTAAAACATTTCAAGTGCTGCTCAACTGGCTTTAGATAAGCCAGTCCTTAGTTAGTATATAAGTGCTTTGTTAGCAATTCTTTGTTAGTGCTTCTATCGCTCGAAGCGGAGTCTGATTGGTTAACAATGGCTGGTACATGTGGAGCACAGCACTTCTGATTGGTGTGGATGACTGATTTGCGATTTGATAATTGCATCATTTCAAATCGCGATTTCGATTTTAAAATCGATTAATCGTTCAGCCCATCATGATAACCGTAGTTAATAATCACTTGTTGAGTGTTTAACAGTGAGTGGCCCAGTAGAAAGTATTTAGGTTGGTAAACCCTGTTCAAACGCATCAATCTCCTCTCTTTATCCTCTCTTCTCCAGCAAATCAATCAGGATCTGAACATCCAGCTGCTGAAAGATGGTTACCGCCTAGACGAGATCCCCGACGACGAGGACCTGGATCTGATCCCGCCTAAATCAGTCAACCCCACCTGCATGTGCTGCCAGGCCACCTCCTCCACCACCTGTCAAATACAGTAACCCCGCCCCTGTGACCTTCTGCCCCCCCCCCCCCCCCCTTTCACACAATATAACCCCCAATCTTCATCTGCTGTGAGTTTACTTCGCCTCCACAGTGGTGACAGTGAAGTATTGGTAGAGTATTATAATGACAGTTAAGTGCTATGATGACAATGAGGAGTAATCCGATTAACATATAGAGTATTTGGTTTAACATGTAGGAGAAGGAAGACAGTTGAAAATATTCAATGTGTATTTAAGTAGAAGTGGTGGTTTCCTCCTATGGTTGGACGTGTTCGAGAGCCCTTCTCCTGGTGAACATGATGTAACACACTAATATTAGTGGACAGAAGGTCAATTGATGCTATAAAGAGAAATCCATTTCCCTGAAGAATAACAAACATCATAACTGATGACTCAACAGTTTCTTTCTGGGTTTCACCTTTGCATTTTTCTAGTTTTTTTAATTTCGTTTTTATTTAATGCTTCCCTTTTTTAAGACTGATGATACGTTTGATTGTATGTGCTGACATGGAGATGTTTTAGAGGTGTGGAGTCCCTGCATAGAGGATATCTGGTACCATATTCATTGTACTGTACGGGGTTGTTATGTAGCACAGGTTGCACTCATTCACTCACCCTCAACACTTATTGGCTGGATATGTTTAAGGCAGAGTTTAGAGATGAACCTGTGAACATGAATGGCTTAGGAACTAATTGCATGAAGAGCACTAGACTGAATACATAAGTTGAAAATAAAAAGGAAGTAGCTGGTTGCACATTTAATTTCTGCCCTATGTTGATTGTGCAACCTATTGACTGGTATTGTTTGAATTTGCACATTTTTTCTTTTGTAGGGCTCATATCTGTGTACTCTTTCCTGCATAGCAGTGACAGTGTCTTATCTGAAATGAACTGTGTCAAAAGGGAAAGATTACATATCGCTGCACGACCCTCTAACACATGATGCTCACATGATAAACATGTTATCAAGGCCAAAGGAACGTGGGGTGACCTTAAGATAGATTTTTCCTTAAACACTGCTGTACACCCCATAGTATATATATTCTCCATCACTGGACACTTTTCCCCATATCTGTTTTAAAGAGAGCGGATTTTAAAGAGAGCACACAGGCATATGCATGTATACTGACATACAATGCCAACATAGTGGCCGTTTCTCAATGTCGAGTATACCTGCTGCAGAGCCACTATTTCAAGTATACTACGTCATCGAGTGGCGCCGAATGCTGGGCATGCATTTAAACAGTCCTTCGGTGCCACTGACGTAGTATACTTGAAATAGTGGCTCTGCAGCAGGTTTACTCGACATTGAGAAACGGCCAGTGAGTGAGATGGCATCTATGTGTCTCCTTTGACTAATGGGTTGGAAATCGTTTTTTAATTGCAACATTTAGTTGGAGCAGTATTGTTCTTCATTTATGACTCTCTCCATGGCCTCCTAAATCTATCATTTGCCATTAGAGTTTGCCTTAAGTATCGAGAAGTTTAAAAGACTTGTGTATTAATTGCCATTTGATCCATTTGCTGTTTATGAAGTTTTTCTTAATAATGTTTTTCTTTGGTTTCATTTTTTTTATTTGTCTTGTAATGTAAACACTACCATTACAGTATTTAACAATGTTATTGTTATGTGCAGTGTATGAAAAGAATAAATAAACACAAAGCTAATGGAGTACTATCTGTTCTACCTTACTCTTTCTTTGTATCACCTTATTAACACAGTGGTGTAAAGTAACTAAGTAGATTTACTCATTACTTAAGTACAATTTGGAGGGACTTGTACTTTACTTGAATATTTTGCTACTTTGTACTTCTACTCCATTACAATTCAGAGGTCAATCGTGTACTTTTACTCCACTACATGTACTAAATACCTTGAGTTACTTTGCAGCTTTTGATTAATAATTAGAAATATAATAAACACTTAAATAAGACTTTACTTACACCTGGAGTACACTGCAGTATACAAAGACATTAAAACTAGCTGCACCTTTACCAGCTTTGATAAACACATTAATGCATCCATAATTGTAATCAAATAATATAATATATATTATTCTGAAATGGGTACTTTAAATATATATTTTGATGCTAATACTTTTGTACTTTCACTTGAGTAACATTGTGATTGCAGGACTTTTACTTATAGAAGTGGTACTTCTACTTGTACTTCTCCCACCTGTTTACACAGCAATAAAGAAGAGCCTCTATGTATTTATAAAAGGTGTGAAGTACAGTGTGTGTTTTGGAACAGAACAAATGAGCAACTGTTTAGAAAGAAAAATAATTTTAATGTTAAAACCTTTGAGCAGTAATTATTACACAGCTATGAATATTGCGATAACACGGCTCTGTGGGGACAGACCTGATTACAGTACAGTAGCATCAGAAGTAAAGGCTTCGACCTGAAAGGCACCAACATCTAATCACAGTTGTCATAATGCCATGAAAATAAAAAACAGCATTGTATAAATACATGTGTGTCCTACAAGCTTAACTATACCTAACTTTACACTCTATCTGGACGTTTTTATACTTTTACGTGGCATTTATATAAAGAAAACTATTGACATCAACAATGTTTGTAGCTCCAGTAGTGGACGAAAAGGGTCTTTCACCCCATTAGTTACATTATAAAAGATCACCTAACAAATACAAAAATCATTGTACCAAAGAAATACATACAAACATGCTACATGTTGGAATTCACAAACTAATAAAGAGAGCTTGCCTCAAAATGCGAGGATGTAAAATATAAATAAAAATGTCCGTTTGTGAGAAATGTTGTGCTTCCATGTCTCCACCAGGGGGTGTTGACAGAAATGGCCTCACATTGTTCCCTGATGAAATGCAGTCCAGATACAGAGTAAACAAAAGGTAGTTAAATGATCAGCAACTGGCACTGTTGGCATTACAGACAGTCATTGATATTCAAAGTATTTTTGAATATCAATCTATAGAATATGAAGATTTTCCACAATGTAGAAATTCCTCTCTGCTAAAATAAAAAAACTTTGAAAAAGGCACAGACCTCTTTTTTTAAAACTAAATATGTATCTTTATATATAACTTTCCCTTTTAAAAGGTTCAACCCTGTTGTGTTTATCCCTGCACTATTAACATTCAAGCCTGGAAAAGCATTGCAAATGTGTTCAATGTATTTCCCCACAAGGCTTGCCTATGTGTAAAGGTTAATTATTAGTAACTTAATCACGATGTGACGCACAACACAGGAAACTGTACAAGCAAACTAGCCCAATATATATATAATTATAAAATACAAAAAACTCTGTAATTCTCTATATAATAGATTTGTCTTCTCTAACCTCACTAAACTACAGTATATTGAGTACATCCTCCATCTAAAAGTGAATCTGTTTTATATATTTATATGACAATACTTGTACTGTACATTCGCCTGGTCCTGGACTTGAGTTACTGTACAAGTATGAGTGTATATGTAAAAAGAAAAATCATATTTACTAAAGGAAAATCCCCAAAACTTCTAAACGCACTTGAATATCTCAGTAATGATTTGTTTTCTTTCTGTAAATGAAGTTTGTGATGCAAGGAAACACATGTAGTGTTAATGGGAACTATATATATACACATGAATGCCTAATAGATTACAGATTCTTCCAACAAAGAAACACAAATAACATATAGTAATGATAATAAATGGCAAAGCAAATAGAAATTGACCCTGACTAATAAATACCAATTATCTCAGGAAGTAACAGGGGTTGAGTTTGAATACATAACTTATATTTCTGTTTGCTGTTACACAATGTTACATGCATAGAGAAAAGATTTTACAGAGTGGTCTGGCTGGTGGAGTTGATTGATTGGACGGGATTAGTGTATGACATTAGTGCAAACAGCACACATGGTGTCTGTGTGTGCTCTCTCTCTCCTGCACTGTGTGTGTGTGTGTGTGTGTGTGTGTGTGTGTGTGTGTGTGTGTGTGTGTGTGTGTGTGTGTGTGTGTGTGTGTGTGTGTGTGTGTGTGTGTGTGTGCACATCAGGAGGGAGGGTCTCACACCCCCACAGGGCTTTGGTCTCCAGAGTCAGACGAGGACAGGGACAGGGAGCAGCGGCGCCTCTTGGCCGCGCTGGAGCCCTGAAGCATGCTGGGATGGAAACCTGCGTGCCGCCGGGCGTGTTTGGTCAGGTGGTCGCTCCGGATGAAGCACTTGGCACACATGGGGCAGTTGAAGCGCTTCTCGCCCGTGTGTGTGCGGTAGTGACGCGTCAGCTCGTCTGAGCGGGAGAACTTCTTCCCGCAGACAGGCCACGTGCACTCGAAGGGCCGCTCACCTGAGGACACACACACACACACGGTTTAAATCACTACTCTTTTAAAGACTGCTTCCTGCATTTTGTTATACAAAAATCTAACAAAAACTACTGTGTTTTGCTGATATTTATTTCCTCATATTTGGAGAACCCAAGGACAAAAAATGTAATAAATATATAATATAATTAATAATATTTATTATTCCTTTATTATATAATATATTAATATTATGTTATTAATAATAATTATTATTAATAATGGTTTCATTTATATGCCATATTTTAACCACATTTACAACCAGCCCACATTTAAGAAATGCATATTTTTTTCAAAACAAATCTAAAAAAAACACCACTAATTATGTCATCAGTTCCAAGTCACCAGGAACGCCCCCAAAAAATAACTTTTATCAGGGAACAGTTTTTAATCAAACTATGGTAGTTTTATTATTTCCTTTATTTATAGCCATTGAAAGAGGGAGGGCAGGCAATACATAAAAAGAACACCGAGTACACAATAAATCAAGTTTGAGAAGGAGGGGGGCAGTCATACAGAGATCGTTTCACCAAAGGATTTTGGGTTTTGTTTTTTCTCAATTTTTTGGGAAGGCCTGACTCAACAACATTTCTTGGAACAATAAGAGAACATATTGATTTGGAAATGGTGAGTCATGATAAGAGCCAATAGAAACGAAAAAAAACGATGGCTGCTCCCACCTCCTCCTCCATGTGCTCCACTGAACCACATGTCTGCCCTTGTTTACAACCTGACGTAAGGGGAGGGGGCGGATGACGTATGAGGAAGTGGTGGTGCAGGGTTTGGTTATCTGCGGAGTGCGTACAAGAACATGAGGGGGCAACAGTGTCGCAGTGACCTGCATGTGGATCTAAAGCTGAGGGGTCGGTGAGATTACAATAAGGGACATGCAAATAAACACATAAACAAGTTAGATAACACACGGTGCAGAACAGAGACGATCTTACGGGACATTATGTTGATAACATCATGGTGACTGGGGTCCAGGATGTTTCTTTATTATCATACCTGAACAATCTAGCGTGCATAACAACTATGGGAGGAGGCACGCGGCGTTCCCATATTCTGAGTGCCACAACCCTCCCCCTCACAGTCAGCCTCACGCCCTCTATGGGCCGATCAGTCACACACCCCCCAAATTCGTGGGACTACCTTTCCTATAACGTGTTATTCATTTGCAGGAACATGTGGTCTTTTCTCCTCATACCACATCCCACAGACTCAACATGGACTGCCTTCTTTAACGTTAGACATCATGTTTAAAGACTTATAATGACATCATATTCATCTTGCAGTGATTGCAGATTGTTCAGACTGCTCTGTCCCTGATCTTTACCATGCACCTGAAAAATGATGTTATAAGTGAGTGACGCAGAGCTGTTTTGCTGTCGTCAACAAAACGTTATATTGGCCCCTCACTCACCGGTATGCACCCTGAGGTGGGCTTTGAGGTGGGAGGATTTCCCGTACACCTTCCCGCAGCCGGTGAAGGGGCAGTAGTGTCTCTTCTCCGGACACTCCTTTCTCTCCTTCACCACCTTCTTCTTGATCCTGGACTGTTTGGGTGTAACCCGGCTGTCCCCGGCGCTCAGCCTGCAGCCCCCCCGCTCCACCTTGTCCTCCACCTCGCTGCTCCCCCCGAGACATCTGCTGTCTCCGGGGCTGATGATGGCGTTAGGGTTGCATTTGTTCAAGTCCAATAAAATCATTGCCACCATCAGTAAAGTCCTGTTCTCCTGGTTCTCTTTGTCCTCTGTGCGTCCCTGTGGTCGGCTGGGGTCACAGTCTGCAGAAACATCCACCTCTGACATCACTACAGCAGATCCGAGGGTGGAGGAGAGAAACAGTTTATCTCCAGGAGCTGGTAATCCAGAAACAAACCCACAATGTGGATGGAGGTGATCAGACCGCAGTCCCCCAAGGAAACATGTGGTTATGCATCCACACGTGTCGTCTTCAATGTGACTATTCCGTAAGACCGCAAAGGCTGCGTTTTTGTTGAGGTTGCAGGGCGGATGGTTAAACACCCCCACAGGAAAGATAGCCGTTTGAATTCCTTCCTCTCTCCTTCTCCCTCTGGGTTTTTTTATTTCGAATTGCCGGAACAATAAAACACACCGCTTTAACCGACTGAGCTGTACGCACTTGTGTCTGCGTTTATTCCTCCTTTCGGTGCACTCCCACACTTGCGTCAACTTGTCCTATTTCTCAGTGAGCGGCACTTCCCTCAACTCCAAGAAACAATTTCGCGGAATCCCACGGTGTCATCACAATGCGGCCCTGTGATTGGCTGGGAGGAAATGTGACTCAGTTTTTGGAATTGTCCATTCACAAGAGTGAGTGAAGGTGCAGTGGACCAATCACAGGCTGGGATTTGTGAAAAGAGGGAGGGACTAGTCTTATGTGGCCTTCAGGTGCTTTAAAAGACTGGGAAAAACCTGTCCCATTGCCCAAACTTGAATTATAAACACATCAGTTAAAATTGCTGGTATTTAAAAATGGGAATAGTTATATATAAAGCACAAACAAAATATATTTAGGAATATTTTATTATACAATTTAAATCAAATTGACAGTTATAATTGAATATGTTGTATGATAATAATTCAAACATTGAAGCAAGCTTTTACGAGGCACGTGAATGCATCATCACATCACGGTGGCTGGCTTCACAACCCTGTCCTGGTACGCCCCTGGACTATGGGATTAGTTTTGTGTCATAAAGATAAAGCAACACTTTCTCAGAATCAAGCAAAACTAAGAGTTTAAGAGAGAAAAAAAAGTCAAGCAAAATAAATAAAATTTCAAAAATAAAACTATAAGTTGCAAACAAATCTTTTGTGTAATCATGTAAACTATAAGTATTTTTTCTTTGTTTTAACATATCTTTTTGTTTGCAGTTCTCTTTGCTTCTTTCTCAATGGTCAGACTTTTGCTCTCGCTGCAGCTCTTCGACGGGACTTTCAGGGGTGCGTCCCCATTGGCTACTCAGTTTTTGAGGGACAGCCCACTACACCACAGATCATACAGTGCAACTCATGCAGCAAACTCCAGAGTCCACTCGGTCACGTTTGTGTTGGTGCCTCCTGGGGAGTTTTTATGAACATATCGGACTTATCTTATGGATTGCTGTGCATTATACTTGTGTTGTGTAGTTTATACTTTATTCCAACTTTAAATATGTTACCTGAACACACTGCTGCTGCTGGAAAATAATTTCCCAATTTGGGATTGATAAAGTGTCTGTCTGTCTATCTATTTATTTTATAGATAAAAAAACACATCTATGTATTTTCAAGCTAAAGGTGATACACAATATAAACTATATACTGTTATTTACTCAAAGACATGTTACATTTCAAAAGCATATATTGCTATGTTTCGGACAAACAATTAAAGACAGCTTTAATTTAACAAATTCTACAATATAAAAGTGGCAGATTTGCTTTATTAAACAGACCAGACCTAGGTTGCATACCAACAAAATGAGGAACATGCTCACATCTTACTATGTTGGTCTGAAGAGCTGAAGCATTTATTCATACACAATGGATAAAAACTGTGTTGTCTCATTCTATATCATGTGAGAAAATGATATACATTTAGCATTAAAAACTCGACATACTATTCCTAGCCTGAGGAAGATATGAATAATCAACAGATTTGAATGGAATCTCTAGCATTTTCATGTAGAATAAAGACAAAAGAGTGATTATACAAATTACATTTATTGAAATTTGAACCAGAAGATGAAGTCTCAAAGAATCTTTTAAATAAAAGGACATACAACAAAAAGGTGGATAATAATAAAATCTATTAAATGTATATGTAAAGACATTTGGTCAAATGAAATGACACTGAGCCAGTGATAACAGCAACGCCAACGTGGATGAAGCTGGTGCAGGTATTTCTTCATGAAGCTGGTGCAGGTCTCTCTTCATGAAGCTGGTGCAGGTCTTTCTTCATGAAGCTGGTGCAGGTCTCTCTTCATGCCCCCCCTCCGTGGATCTGATGCTGTCCCCTCAGAGGAAGTGGGAAAACGGGATAAGACCTCTGGACACCACGCTGTCTCAATGATCCATACTGTTAATATGAGAGGAAAATAAATGTTTTAGGAAATGAAAAATATGAAGTTAACAAATAAAACTCAGCTCAGGGGCATCATGGACGGTAGGTTTTCCTACAAAGAGAAGTAGTAAACTCAGCCTCCATTGATTTTCATATCAAATTACCGTGTTAATAAAATAAGCTATCATGGCTTATACATGCATATCTAAACAGAATCATGAAAGCATGTTGGTAGAGTCAGGCACACGAGTCCGTTTGAGTGTGTGTGCCGGTGTCTGAACGCTCACTCACTGCTAGCTATGTAGCTAACTGTCCCTGCTGTTAGGCTACTTAGCTTGCATTGTTATGGATCTAAAGTTAGCAAAAGCTAACTTTCATAGCACAGCTTTTCTTTACTTCTCACTTAACACAATAAAGAAACAGACCGTATAGTACAGCACAAACAACACAAATGATTAATACTTACATATATTTCCACTTGTAGTAGGCTATAATAATTGAAATGCTGGTTCTTCTGGGGGTCTTCTGTCCATGCTCAGCTACCGCAGCTGCACTGTACAATCGCCGGAGGACTGGGCTGTCACTCAAACACTGAGTAGCCAATGGGGAAGCAAACGCACCCCTGAAAGTCCCGCCCACCTGGGATGTTTGTGTCATAATCGAAAACAAAAAATGGGGGAGCGCAAACGAGAGAGCTGCAGAGAGAGCAAAAGTCTGATCGTTGAGAAAGAACTGCAAACAAAAACGTATGTTAAAACAAAGAAAAAATACTTATAGTTTATATGATTACACAAATGATTTGTTTGCAACTTATAGTTTTATTTTTGAAATTTATTTTATTTTGCTTGACTCAGTTTTGTTCTTCTCTTAAACTCTTAGTTTTGCTTGATTTGGAGAAAGTGTTGCTTTATCTTTATGACACAAAACTAATCCCATACTGGTCCCACATGCTGGAAAAAACTGTTTATTGCAAAAGTCTATTTATTTTAAATATTTACAAGTACATGTTTGGCTTCTTTGTGAAGCAGCTTGCTGGGTGATGAGTAACGGATTTTCATGTTTTTTTCCCGTTCGTTCAAAGAAAGGCTTGAACACGTTGCTTTGCACAACATGGACATGTTTGTGCACAACGAAAAAGAAAAAAAGGGAAACAATTTGAGGACCAGCTGCAACAGTTTATAATTGTCATGTTGATGAATTAGATGCATCTCTTCGTGTTATCACAGGCCTCATCGACTATTTGGTACTTTGTAGGGACTGCAGTTCGATTTGGCCTGTGTGTTTGGCTTACAGTAGGTTTCTATGAATCCAATAGTCGCTGGAGTTGCTGGAAGTCCCGCCTACCTCTGCAGAACTATTTGCTCCACCGTTATCAATCACTGAAGGTCAAACCAGGCAACCCGTTTGGAAAAAAAGGCATAGAAAGCAGCTGCAACACATGAGTCTATATATTTTTACTTTAAGCATTTGTATGAGTTTATATGAGGTCAACACAGTGACGTGAGTTTTCAGTTCATTCTAAGAGTTTTGGCATCATGACATTCTTAGTTTATAATGTATTGGAAAAATACAAAAATATTAATAAATTGGGACGAGGGAACATTAGCAGCTGCACTACAGAGGACGATAAATGACACAAGTTATAATATATTTAAAAAAATGAATGTATAAGTAAATACAGAAGTAAATGAACAAATAAAAGTTTAAATACATGCAAAAAATAGACACAAACAAGCAAATAAATGCTGTAATAAATAAAAGAATAAACAAATAAATATTACATTTCCGTCCTCCATATTTTTCGTCATCGACTGAAGCTCAGTATTTAGGGGCTGTCTTCTGTGTCATAAGGGGAGATATGTGTATTATTATCTGGGATGTAACACAAGCCACTGGGGCCCCTAATGTAAAAACTGGGGACAGGTCGCACTTTGTGTGCCAGTTTTACAACCTTGTTGTGATCCTAAATTAGTGCAGTCCTCACTGTCCACACAGCTCCCTTGAGTTGCTCAGTGCCAGTGTAAACTCACTTGACACTGGGCACGAGGTCAGATATGTTGTCATTGTATAATAGAGTTTTTGTATGATAAGCCACCTATAGGCCAAACTCAACAAGAGAAACAGAAAGGATTTAAATGTCAAATTAGATTAGCTGTGACTTTGTAACAGCCAGCTGGTGGTGTAATGAATGTCTTCCCTCCAAGACACTATTGGCGCAGTTCCACTGCAGCGCGGAGCTCGCTTTAAGCGTGCCGTGTCGTGCCGTCCCCTTTTTTGGTTGTGCTTCCACTAGGCCTAGTGCCGGCGCGGCACGGCGCGGGGCCACTTTTTCACCTCTTTTCTGGCCCTAGAAAATTGTGGTTCTATCGGGGCCAACAAACAGGGCTGAGTCGGGCTGAGTATGCTAAACTAGAGAGAGGAGCGCTGGCAAGAGGGCTAGAACTACAACAAGATGGACATATTTGACCGTGATTTAATTGTAATACACGTTTCAAAATGATGCCGAAGTAACAACATACTGATACCGGTTAGTAAAAACCATGAATTAATGCTTTGTCAAGTCTGCAGACAGACGGCAGGGGAAAAACCTTTTAAAATGCGTGTTTTTCTAGATGGAGATTGGCTAAGCTAACGCAGTATATGCTTTGACCGTCCACACTCACAACAACGGCCTATACAGACATAAATAAAGCAGCGACTGTATTCACCATGACACAGGCAGTCTGTGGTGTGTACTTGTTTAACTTTTGTCGAGTTTCTGAACATATATAAGGAGCTGTGAGCTCTGAGTGCTAACAGCTAACGGCTGTGTTGTGTTTCTGGAGTTCTCAATGAAGATGACGTCACGGCTCCGCCTACACTGCGTTACTATAGTAACTACCCCAGTTCCTAAACTGTAATGGAAGCGCAGCATGAAGTGAGTCGGCCCTGTTAAGGCCCAACGCGGCCAAGCCGTACCGAGCCGTACCGAGTGTGGCCGAGGCCGACCGTGTAGTGGAAATGCGCCATATATGTGTCTTTGTGTGAAGCAGCCCCATACATTCACAATATCAATCTATTGCCTAAAGCAAGATAAAGTATATTTTATTAGCACTGTATGTGTAATATGTATAATGCAGATGCCTGTAAATGATTAAGCTTGCATCCTCAT